GCAGTCACTACTCAGAGAGAACGCGAGGGTTCGCCGTGACGTGGCGTCGAAGCACAGCGACTGGCTGGGGACGCTGGGAGGCCATTGGGTTTCAAGGTGTGTTACACGTTCTACTAAAGTATATTTTACTAATGGCTCGTAGCCCAAGGCGAGCTCCCAGATTCCTCCTCTATGGAGACATTGGCGGTAATGAAAGCAGTTGCCAAAGCTTGCGATTTGGCCCGCGAGATGTCTGACCAGCTGAAGACGGTAGCAATCTATACGGACTCGACGAGTGCGATTCATATTGCGCAAAATCCGAATCATCCCCTTGGACTGCACATTATCAGGAAAGCCCGTATTCTTACGAACTTTGGTCCGACATTGTCTCTGCATTGGTGCCCTGCCCACAGCGATGTAAGTGACACGTTCTCGCATGACCAATTTGATGAGCTAAACAGAATAGGTTCCCGGCAACGAACTAGCCGACAAAATTGCCGGCATGGCACGATCACACGTTTATGGCGGAAACGCGGAGTTCGTCGACCTCAGCGACGATGACGATGACGGTTGGGAGGATGGTTGATGCGCGACAAGAGCTCGTATCGTTGCCTTTGTCGTTTCTGATTTCAGCAACGCAAAGAGATCAAGCTTTTGGCAAAGCGTCGTAGGATGGTGGTCAGGAGAAGACATCGGGCGTTTCATGCAAGTTCACAAGGCGTTATGGCGGGAGACTCTTAACATATGATACCCATTTCATTGGTAGTTTTGTCGGAGCAAGAACCACACTGCCCCGGGAACTGTGGAGCTCTTCTCTGATATATTTGGTTGTCGTAACCCACCAAGGCGGCTTATCATGGGACTCAACTAGGCGTGCCTCTGAGGTAAGACGCTTATCGTCACATGCGACGGTTGACTAGACGGATTGTTGACGACGGCCAGGCGGTTTGCCGCTGCAGCTTTTCACGGGGTAGCAGTCTTCGCTGCCTTCGTATGCGCAGGCTTCAGTCACGATTGTCACGATTGTATATTATAGTCATCAGTTGGAAGAGGCGAAAATTATGGAATTCTCTTTGTCTTTCTGCTTCAAAGTGAAGTGTTTTTCTGAAAGGTTTCCTTCGTGCCTGTGGGGTCTGACTGAACATCAATGAAACACGGGCCCTAGGGAACTCATCGCATGGCGACTTCCTGCAGTAGCGTACATTTGACAATATTGAGGATGCTACGGAGGCCAACTCCGTGTTGGCAGACTTGCTGCTGGATGTGGGTCTGCTCTTTAGCTGCATGGTACACGGTCTGATTCCGGAAGCATACATTCTGGAGTCTCTCCTCGCACGAAAAAACAGCGTGACGATGGGGCTGAATCTAGGTAAAGCTAGACGTCGTATCGAAAAGTTCAAGATTTCCGTGTCAGCCCACATCGCCGCTCGCCGCCAAAGCTGAAAAGAGCCGCTTGCGAATACGAGCCAATTATCGCGGTGCGCTCCACAATACGAAGACGTTACGCAACAGAATGGACATGCAAATAAAACAGCAATTAGCTAGCTGGACGTTATAAGGGTACTCACATAGAGCCTCCGCGACATTGCTGCGTGGTCTCCATCACCCTTCCTACATCGGCCTACTGCTAACTAAAATGGTTGCCCTCCTTTCCCTCGCTCTTCTGCCTCTTGCTCTCGCCCGCCCTTCTGCTTCCCCCGCATTCGAAGTCACCAATCTGTACACCTTCGAACCCTCGGGTAGGGATAATGTGTCGGTGTATCGCGTTGCGTTCAATGTGACGGATCCGAGTGACGGCGGTGCAACTTCTTGCGAGACGACATGGCCGTATGCGCAGTGGGATACCGGGTATCCTCATGAATTTGTACGTATAACCGCCTTTATCCACAGTACCCCTATTATCGGAATTCTATTCCCAAGGGCATCAGATGTTCCGTTGCATTTCATCGCGCTAACTTCGTCAAGCTCGCAAACTGCACGGACAAGGCCTGGTCATTCAAGCTCGACGACTACCAGGACGTGTGGGACTTTGTGCTTGACGTAAAGCATGTGAGGTGAGCGGCTCATCCTGGGTCCCTCCTTTCATAAACCAAAATTAATGTGGAGCAGTAAGAAGAAGAATGGGAAGAAAATTAAGCGGTTCGCGAAGGGGACTGTGGATGCTGAGGATATCCTGCAGTGCACTCATGCAGGGTCGGGGTTCTCGATTTGTAGGCAGAGGGAGGGTGTGGCGTTTCCGTTGGATGTGTATAAGGAGGTGAAGGTTTGAGGGGTGGTAGAGGTGGAGAAACATAGTTTGTTGTCCCTAGTATGCGACTTACTGATAAAATGGCGGCGTACAACCACTCGGAACACCGCTTCATATTTTACCTTGTTCCGAGGAAGGATTGCTTGATAGTAGTAGATTCTTCCCAGGTATGGCCCACTCATCAGTCTTCTAAGGCAGACATCAACGTTGTGATCGCGTGAGAGAGGAATGTTTCGCCGCCGCTGAGCAACGCAGATACCAGGACAAAGCAGGGTATCTCATGATTTCATGTTTCCATTACATCGAATATGGTACGTATACACATCAAGAAGCTAACTCGTATGAGCTTGATGCATACCCGGGTCCTCCTCCAGACATGTACCATCCATGAATATGTCCAGGTGATGTCCGCCCTAACTCCAAGCCCATACCATCATGCGCATCGTAATCATAATCGAGAACGCTTAGCCGTATCGAACGTTCTTGACAGTGCCCTGCTCGTCGACGTGGACGTTGAGGCGGTCGGGCCTGTGGTCCATGGTGCTCATCGAGTCGGGCTGGAGGACGCGGTGCACCGAGGGGAGGTCCTTCTTGGCGAAGGTCTGTTGGAAGTCAAGGTTAGCACACTCATCTAGACGGTGCTACACGCAGGCTGCAAGTGCAACAGCGTGGAAGTCAGTTTTACATTGAGGGGAGCACGTACGACTTCATCGTGGTTGTCACCGATCTTCTTGCCCATCAACTTGTTCGTCCACTCATCGATCTGCTCTCCACCCTTGCTCTGGATTCCGGGGACGACGAGAGGCATGTTGTGTGTAGGTTTGCTTGCGAAGGTTCGCTTGAAGAGGGTTCTGTGTAGGGGATTCGTGGTGGGGTTTGTGGTTTGTGGTCTGAGGTATTTGGGTATGAGTGTGAACAAAGGTGTACGGACGTATTTATGCAAAGTTATGCACCCTTGCGCGTGACCGATAAGAGCCTTGGTCAATGGTTGAGCACCACCGGAGGCGGACGAGGTGGTGAGGGGTGACGTCACCGAGGGGCTTGGAGGCTAGAATTGTTGGGGAAGGTGGGGCTCAGAGCTCAATGTTCGGAATGGCAGGCGCAACCGAAGTGAAGTCTTAAGCGAGCAAGACATCTATTGTCGTGCCTGACAAGCCAGTGTTACTGTTAGCGATCAAATCCCTCTAATCGAGGGAGATGAACAAGGACATAGATAATGTGGGGACGTTCATAGAGAAGCTCCAGTTGTGTCGATGTGCTCTGACTGCTTGTTACATACCCTGGTACCCTCCCAGTCACAGCTTCGCCACACTCAACAACCTGCATGAGCCTGGAGCGCTGCCTAGTATGTGCGAAACGGTGGGAACCCAAGGAGATATACTCCTTCCTCTTTCAGGCATAACATACGTTTCTCCTCGTACGAGACGTCCTGACTACTTTGGTGAGCCCTCAAGATTACAGTTCTGTTCTTATCGATTGCATCGCTGGTATACCCCTCCGTGAGTTGATCATTCGCTTCTGTTGCGTTGTCTCAAATCCCGTGGACTGTTTGAACCAGAACATCCATCTCCACGGCGTGAATCCAGTTGGCGATCGCTTTCCAAACTCTGGCTTTACGAACATTCGGCCACTGTCCAAATGTGCTTTGGCGATCAATACATGGAACGACCGAGAGCAGAACTGGATTGTGACCAGCCTCTTTGATCCCTGTACAGGCGGCGGAAAGTAGTTTCTCGATTCCAAGGCTTGATATACTGCGATGCGTATCTTCAGCATCGTAAGCTGGCAGTAGACGTACCACAGGGAGCGAAGGTAGCTTTCAAGAGAGTCTACTCCGTCCCCGATTCTGCAGTATCGTTCGGTTATAGAAGGCTTCTCCTCGAACTTCCCCGAGCTCGCCAGGAGCGATGCATTCGCGCCTGTCTTGCTGATCTAGAGCCGTATCGTCTGCCATGGTGAGCTCAGGTGGATCCTTTGGAGAAGGTCCGAGCAGTCTATCCCGAAGATGGTGCATGTTGAGGTAGCTTGCTTCGGTTGATTGATTAGCTGAGTAAGATCGAACTATAATGCTACCATTAATGTCACCATGTGTTTGGATACAATCCCATTGTTGAAGGATGAGCTTTGTGAGGTGCCAGCCTGTGAACAGCCTGCCTAGAATTACTCTATGAAAGAATTCTAATCAATCTCCCTAGTCCAGATCATTATCTTTGCTCGGCAAGGCCCCAGGAAGATGTATGTGCCCGTGGCATGTAAGGAACGGTTTACTTTGTAACTAAACCTGTGGTTATTTTCGAAATTCATCTGTCCAGCGTAAATAGGCAGGACCAACAGAGTCTTACAAATTATTCGACTATTCGCGTAGTCAGACTCGTTACTGAAGTGTGCTGTGTTGCGTGCAAAGCTTTTATCTTCGGAGCCGAGCCACTGGCGGGGGTACCCGCCCCGCACACAACACGGGATTTTCACACATTCCCCAGGTCTCTGGCAAGGACCACCAAATGTCTGTATATGCGGCGAGAGGGGGCTGTTTTGATAGTATAATAGCTCTGCTAGATTTGATCTTCTTATTTTCATGGAGTTTATCTGTGTATGGAAAAGACGTTGCAATAAGCCTAGCTTCCTACCCAGGTTTTAGTGAGCGATCTTCGGCAGAAGTCGATTTACTCTACCCCACTCTGAGTTCAGTTGGCTAGTCCAGCTGGCCTGACGCAGCACGCTTTTGTGCGTATATAAATTGCAAATTTCAAAAATGTGCATCAAATCCTCCAACGGTGAGATGGCCGAGTTGGTAAGTCATACGAACCCCATGTGTTCACTTCAATGTACTAATAGTCCTAGGTTATGGCGCCAGGTTAAGGTTCTCTTAACACTAATTCCTGGTCACGTAAGTGGCGTGGGTTCGAGTCCCACTCTCATCACTATCGTCCGCTCAGTTGAGCGGATTTCGGGAGTTACTTTTTTGCTTTTTCGCTCAGTATTTGTGAGCTAGCTGTGCGGTGCAGTAGATAGGTACTTCTTGCACGTGTTAGAACTCGATTTTAGTTCATGGGGGGAAGAAATAACTCGGGCACTGCTATAGATCGATTGTTGAGTCTTCGCGCGCTTTTGCAAGCCGCGGACTGCTGTAGGTACAGCAGCACACTGCTAGGAGGTAATGCCAAATAGAAATGAGTAGCGTTTTGTTACTCCCTCATTATATATCCTGGTAACTTACACTCAAATACCTGTTTAGTCCGTAAAACGGTTCTTTAGCTGGGAAGGAGGCAAGGCCTTGCTTACTGACGGAGACATTGTTGGTGTGTGGCGTGTGATTTCGGTTGTTAGCTATCTATCTTAGGTCATATGTTGAAGAAATGGCTGAATGCATCATCATATCCTGCGGAGTTTTCAGTGGACGGCCTACATGTTGCAGGTAACGGGTATCTGGCCGGGACATCGAGGTTTGGAATCGATGTGCTGAGTCAGTGGGGAGAGCTTCTGGTCAGAGTGCAGACTGATTTCATCGCCAACAACGTGCAGTTCGTAGAGAAAGATTGTGGGTCTTTGGGCAGGGCAAGATTGCTCGGGTTGAGTGGAAGCTGGAAGGCTTAGCGGGAGCGAGGAGTTAGTTGAGATTGTATTGAATTAGATTGAAGGGATGATTGGTCAAGTTGACAGTCCTCTTGCGATGTCCGCGAATGCCTGGATGCCTTTGCGTCCCAAAGCAGTTCCTACGCCTACGGCCGTTGCGCCTACAGCCCTCATCCTCTTGTACCCCTCCGCATCTTCAACACCGCCTACGCCGATGATTTGAATGTGACTTAGCTCGTCGTACTGGAACAATAAACCTCTGATCGTGTAGACATTGCCCAGGGCAATTGGATGCAACGGAGCGCCAGCTAAGCCTCCAATCCCGGTCCCGTTTGCGGAGTTCAGAACGTGATGGAAGTACTCATGCGGTGCAGGCGAGGAAGTTGTGGGCTCGGCGATCGGTTGCAGAAGTAAAGAGGAACCGAGCGTGTTGGTCGCTGTTACAAAAGATATTGGACAGGGAAGATGGGCCGGCTCGGCTTTTGCGGATCCAAGCATGGCATTGATCATTGCTTGGTATTGATCGTGATATGTGTAAGGCGGTGTTTTGATACCAATCTAAATTTGTACTACAGTCAGTATAACCTGTAATTATCGTGCACTATTTTGCATACCGGAACATGAGTCGTGCCAACATGCGTATGCTCTCCTGTTAAGACAGGCTCTACTTGCCGCGCAATCTCCTGTTTCAAAGCAACCAGATAGGCCAGAAGAGCCTCCGAACTATACGCTGGTGGCGGCTTTCCTGGGATGTTCGGACAAGACAAATTGACTTCCATCGCGAGCGCCATGCGGACGTGATTTTGCTGTTCACATATCTGCTTATAGCACTCAACAACTTCTTCCACCGTGCCCGTGACTGAGACAATAAAAGGCTTGATGCGAGTTGTGCTCGTTGCGGTTTCTGCCAGATGATCTGATATAGTCTTGATGAAGCCCAGATATCGTTTTAGCGGCAACGGGCTATAACCGAGCGTGTTCAGACTGCCGCTTGCGTCTACCTTCTCATGCGCCGTCGGATTTGCGGCGCCAGCTTCGTGTGTAGATGGATTGAAAAAAGCGAACTGGTGAATATTCTCATCGTTAGGAAACCCCTCAAGTAACGACGTCCTGGTGGTCACTGCCCCAGTACTAGAGCAGTCATAGAGCTCCTGCAGTTGCTCTAACGTGGAGCACCATGGATTCGCCGAATTGAGCAGTGGAGGCTCAATATGTAAAGGTTTCGGATGAGCGTCCATTTTCCCTGATGCGGAAACAATATCACAACTGGTAGCTTCCAGAGTCGCGCAGAAAGTGCCTCGTGAGACAACGGGCAACTTGAGGAAGGGATCGCCCAAGGTGCCGAGATGAAAGACAGCTATTCTCCTCTCTTGAAACAAACAAAGTCAATGTTAAGGAATACAACAGAAGCGATGCAAAGATGCGTCCGCAGATAAGAGTTGACACGAAGGTGGGGCGATAGTCACGCGTGATCGCGCGCTATCCATGGATCGAGCGCTAGCCTTCGATGTCCCTCCGCCACCGTTCTAAGCGGTGGTCAGGACCTCTGCTGAACAAACACTGCCATTTTAACACAAACCTGTGTCGCGAATGTCAATGAGATCGTACTTCTTGCTGGCGACCTCGAGATGAAGTATCCTTCCAGGGTAGAGAGATGAGATGTCGCGCAATCCGAGGAGCAGCACCATGTCAGAGCTCGGAACGTCGAAGAAGAAGCGGCGCGGTGGGATGCGCAGGAAAACAGGTAAGTGGCTCCATGGTCATAAATTCCATCGCTAAACACCGTGCAGGATGGTATGTAGTTATTCAAGCCTCAGACGGTGGCTGATGACTGATGACCCCCAGCCAGACCTGTAAAGCTCGACACAGTCGCTGTGATGAGAAAAAGCCAGTTTGCAGCAACTGCGAGCGACTGGGCTTAGATTGCAAACAGTCCGATTTCATCGCGCCATCCTCATGGAACAACACACCTTCGGAACTTACACCGCCCACTCCTGCCCCAGCCCCGCAAGTGACTATGGACGAGATGCAACTGGTCCCTGTTCAAGCCCAGGGATCCCCAGATGACACCTTGTTCATAAATTTTGAGCAACCGGCGTCTACGTGGGACATTTTCAGAACGAGGATAGACGGTCTAGATCAAGTTTCAGACGAATCACCGCCTAACGATGTGTTTAGCCAGCTGAATCTCGCGGTTCCCCGGTCACCGATGTTGACCTCTCCCTCTTCTCTATCTACTGAAGCACCTGTGTCTTTGACGACCGAGACTGCTTTCCTGTTGCAAACGTACCTACGAACAGTTGCTAGGTGGATGGACCTCATGTGCCACAACTCCACTTACCAACTCATAATACCTAAACTGACGCTAACATCACCGCTACTCTTCCACTGCGTATGCGCCTGTAAGGTCCATGGTTCGTAATTTTGAAAGCTCTTTCTCACATGCTATCCAGTCACGGCGAAATACCTCTCACTCTCCAATCGTCGCAGTACTAACTGGGATCCCACGGCCCGTCATCACTACGGTTTGGCACTTCACCATCTCATCCACGCACTCAACACGCCAAATCATCAGCATGCTTTGACCGCGACTATTCTTCTATCCAGCTACGAGATCGTCGCTGGCATCGCTTCTGAGCATCACCGCCGGCACATCCTCGGCCAGACCATGCTCATCAAGCACCACAACATCAACGCGCAATCCACTGGAATGGACAAAGCGAATTTCTGGATCCATGTGCGACACGAGATTGGGTTTGCGCAGACGACAGGGCGGCCGTTGATCCTGGACCCGGAAGAATGGAATGTCCATTGGGAGGAAGGCGAGACACGAGAAGACGTGCTCGGAAACCACGTCCTTTGGATTCTTGCGCGCGTTCTCTGTCTAATATATGGAAATGAAGGGTCTACGCAATCCGGGAAGCGAAAGCGCATCGCATTCCTGCAAGAGCTCGAAGTGTGGCGCTCCGGCCTGTCCGACACCTTCATCGGCATCCCTTATGGCGAAGCAGACGCTGAAGGTTTCCGCAAAGTATATTTCACCGTCACAGCGGCTGCTGCTGCCGCATTCTGGTACCACGTAACGCACATCCTGCTTTATGCCGAGCCAACGCTACAAGACGAAAGCTATAAGCCACTTATACAAGACCAGGCGATGCGGCTGACAAACATTGCGATTTCGGAGTTTCCAGATTCTCTGAGGGTGTTTGCAACCCATGGGCTGTTCTTTGCAGCCAAGCATATACACGGGATAGCGCGGAAAGCACGCATTTGGAATATACTGAACGATGTTGAAGCCGAGCTTGGGTACCATACACGCAGCATGGTAAAAAGGCTTCAAGATCTTGTGGAGCAAGGCTCATGAGGACTCGATATCTTCCACTGTTGAAACACATCTATAAGACGTTGTGCTACACGTTCGTGGACATATCAGTATACTGTAACATAAACGATGCTCTCTAACATATCATTGGCAACGCGCCGCTCCTCTACAGAGCCGGCCCCCCGGGTTACCCAGCCCAATAACCTCCTGATCCTATCATTGGCAAATGAATCATAATGCGAATCATTAATAACGTACGACTCAAGTCACCGCACACTTCCCGGACATCCGTCTAGCATGCCTATAGACACTACCGCACCATGCCGTGTGCTTTATGTGGCATCCACTCGTCCACGTCCAGACTCGCATCCCGCTGCACCCAGGCTGGAAACTTTTCAGGCGGCTGCAGATCCTGCGCCCCTTCCACATATTTCCCATCTATCTCATGCACAACATTATGCTCCACCAGTGGTGCTAGAACAGATCTTCTACGCCATCGGAAACCGATATAGAAGGCTGCAATCGCGACCAGAAGCACACCGAGTGCAGCCCCGACGCCTATTCCGGCTTTTGCGCCAGTCGAAAGACCAGCATGTACAACAACTGGAGCAGAAGATTGTGCGCTTGGTGATGGAGATGCAGCTGTAGGGGTATTCGAGGACGCTGAAGTGGATAAGGTTGTTCCAATGGCTCTAAAGGACGACGATGTTCCTCGGGATTTGATCACGGTCTGGATGACTGTTATTGGTGCTGGTGTTTCATCGGCTCTCGTACGGTCAAGCGTAACCACAGATCTGACTAGTTGCGTCGACGTAGGCGTGGGGCCCACAGTTAGGGCGACTGGAGTGCTTGTTAGATCAACATGATTCTTGTCGATCTTGCGGGTAGACGTACCTGTAGAGTCAACCATGAACTCGGTAACGTCGCCAAGTACAGACGATACAAGATCGATCGGCGGCCCAATAAAGGCGGACATATCTGAGTCTAGGAACGATGAACGAACACTTGGTGGGTTGGTGGTACTCG